TAATAGACTACAGTAGAACGTGTATCTCTAATAGACTACAGTAGAACGTGTATCTCTAATAGACTACAGTAGAAGGTGTATCTCTAATAGACTACAGTAGAACGTGTATTTCTAATAGACTACAGTAGAACGTGTATCTCTAATAGACTACAGTAGAATATGTATCTGTAATAGACTACAGTAGAATGTGTATCTGTAATAGACTACAGTAGAAGGTGTATCTCTAATAGACTACAGTAGAACGTGTATCTCTAATAGACTACAGTAGAAGGTGTATCTCTAATAGACTACAGTAGAACATGTATCTCTAATAGACTACAGCAGAACGTGTATCTCTAATAGACTATATATTAGAACATGTATCTGTGATAGATTATAGTCGAATGTACACATCACTTTTATATGGACTGGGAAACCAAGAAGTCCATGTCATTTGTGTCATTGTGATACTTGCTTTGTTGCAAATATCTGGAACAGAACCTGCAATATCTCTGGAATTGGCTTATATGATGTGAATATTAGAGAAAGAATTTACAATATTTTACATTTTCAGGAGAAATACAGGGAGACTCAGCATCTGTCAAGTAATGTTTGAGGTGTTTAGTTAGACCAGGAGTGGGGAACATCATTTGTGGGCCATACAAAATTATCAACCTAAATATTAGCCTGCGATATTTGGTCAAACATTTAATTAACTCACCCCTAATGTGATGTCTGCAAGGAGCTCTGGTAGCGTAGTGGTTACAAATCGGACTGCGAGACTCAAGGTCAGCAGTTCAAAACTACCAGCTGTTCCAAGGGAGAAAGATAAGGCTTTCTGCTCCCATAAACATTTACAGCCTTGGAAACCCTGTACAGGGTCGCTGTGAGTCGGAACCGACTCCATGGCATATAACCACCACCACCAATGTGATGTCTGCAGTCCTGGTGTGGTGCCATAGGATAATACACTAGACCACAAGGTTGTTTAAACTGCAAGGTCGGTGATTCAAACACACCAGACATTTCTCGGAAACCCTACAAAGAACATTATACAATCTTCTTTTATGATGTTCATGATGTCATCCCACAACTCTTCTGGTCTTCGGTCTTTAGTGTTTAATGTATCAAATCTGTTCTTCAGATGATCTCTAAATTCAGGTGGGATATATTCA